CCCTTTATTTTTTTGCTGTTGTTTTGGTTGAGTTCGTTGCTGCAGCCCGCTATTTAAATGTTGTTGCTCTTGTGGTGCTAGCTGCTTCGGTGGTGCTAGCTGCTGCTGTCGCTGGGGATGGTGGTTAGGTTGCTGTAGTTGTTGCAGGTCGTCAGGTTGTTGAGAATGTTGAGTCTGTTGAAGTTGCTGCTGTTGCTTCGGTGGGGTAGAGTCGAAACGAGGTTTAGGTGAAAAAAATGGAGAAGGATTTTCAGCCTGCTGTGACTTGAATGAATGTTGTTGCAGTTCTTGTTGTGGGTTCTTTATCTGTTGCTTTTGTGGCTGTTGAAACAAATGCTGCTGCTCTGGCTGTAGCTGAAAATTAGGCTGCCGCTCTTGGGGATTTTGTTGTTGTTGTTGCAGATCCCCGGATAAATGTGTCATTGGAATGGGCAGCAATGGTCTAGTTAGACGTGGTTTAGTTGGTGTTGGGATGGCAACTGCTGCTGTTGTTGATTGGTTAGGCAAGGAGCGGCTGTAATATGACTGTTGCTGTTGTTGTTGCTGCTGTTGTTGTTGCTGCTGTTGAGGTCTTTGTTGTCTCTGCTGAGGTCTTTGTTGCTGCAACAGATGTTGCTGCTGCTGGTACTGCGGTCTTGACGACCGATATTGTTGCGGCTGTTGCTGAAATTGTGGTCGATATTGTTGCTGTTGTTGAGATTGAAATGCATTATTCACGATTCTATTTTGAAAAATATTGTTGGCCCCACTGCTAAAATTATCTCTTTTATTACTATCATAACAATTGAAACTATTCTGATACTGACCATGGTTGGCATTACCGACACCATTATCATATGTCTTGTTTTGCTCCCAAATTTCTTGGTAATCGTTAACATCCATATCATCATCACCACTCCCACCATAACTATCATTACTATCAACATGGTAGGCAAAATTGTCGGTGCCACTTTTCAGATTAGTGAAATTAGGCGATGAGAGACAGACCCTTGGATGAGGACGGTAGAGCTGCGGTGGGTCTGTCATTTTAGTGAATTGGGAATTTGCCAAATAATTCATTGACTTAAACTTTATATACTCAAATGTATACATATTAAGCAATAAATGATGATTCATTTATTATTTATAAATTATTATAATGAAGTAAAATTAAAATAGAAAAAAAATAATTTGAAAAGTAAAAAATATTAAATTATAAAACAGTTTAAACATTAAGTAGGGCATGAAACTTTAATATTACCTGCAAAATGTTTTTCGCCGTAATTCGACGTTCTCCATCTGAAATGATTGGGGATTCCACGAGGAAGAAGCCCAAAGCCCGGATTTTCGTTGACCGGTTCATTTTTTGGTGGAAACGGAGAATTAGGCATTTGCATTGGAGAACCTGTCGGCCGCAAAAGAAACGGTTGTCTGGGTTTTGAAGCACCAAAACTCATTTTTATTTTTGTAAAACTTGAAAATTAATGAAAATTTTTTTAGGAAATTCAAAAAAACATTTTGCTATCGGTGGTCATTGTCTAAAAAGTAAACACAATTATATATGTATGAAACGCCAAAATAAATTTTATAATTTTTAATTTGAAATACATAAAAATAATAACATTTAGCTATTTTTATACAATTTTCAAACATATTTTTATATTTATATTTTAGTTATATGTATTAAACAGTATCTTATTGAACAAAGTAGTATCATATAATGAATAAAAATACTTCTTTCAAAAATTTAAAAAATTTTAAATTTGATTTCATTTTGTAAAGATAATGATGATTAATTAAAAATTGATTGATCGTAGCTTTTGACTCAAACGATAAAAAAAATCACCCTCCAAATTTTCTCCGAAAACAAGCTCCTTGTTCGACCGTTAAAAGTGAGCGAAGGCCGTTATATTTATTTTAGTTATAATTTAGTTAAAAACTAAATTATAAACTAAATTATAACTAAAATAATTATAACTTTTCTAGTTATAATTTTATTCAATGACTTAATGGTAAGACTCTATGGTAAGACTTTAAGCTACTGTATTTATGAAAGTTTACTTTTAGATATTTAAATTTCAAGTTTACTTTTCATTATTTCAATCACACACTATTTAATAAAATTAAACATTTTTGCGGATAAACGCGTAAAATTAGGAATAATTAGCAGTTGGACCGCTAAAATGATTGAAGACGTTAGTGATTTTTGTTAATAAAAATAATTTTTTTCTCATTTTATGTAATTAAAACTTCGTCATTATTAAAATAAAATACAACCTCTTTCTTTTTTCTTTTTTTAAATTTTATTGTTAAATAAAAATATTTTGTTTGCCACAAATCTCTTTTTCCAATTTTTCTCTAATTCTAGGAGTCGGAAGTATTCGAGATAAATGACTTCACGACGGCATCTGAATGGGAACGGTCAGTAATGTTAAATTTATTATATGTGGATAAAATTAATCTTAGTCAGTGTGAATTCCCAAACAAAAATTGTTAATTGGAATGATTTATTATGGATGAATGAATGAAAGAATGAATGAATAAATGAAAAATTGAATGCATAGGCCATAGATGAATGAATAATTGACTGACTGACTGACAGACAGAATAATTTGATTTTACCTTCATTCAATGATTCAAATATGATTAAACTGCTTTTTAAACAATTGTAATTGAATTAAGAAGCATTATTCTTTATTGACATTTATTTATGATCATTCTTATTTATAACGTTCCTCCAAAATTTTTTTCTCAAAAAGTTTTGTGGCTCAGATAGAGGAGGTCTTACAAGATTGGCAATTGTCGACCCCTTATCAGCCACATCATCATCAACAAAAACATCATCATCAGCACCAACCACAACAGCAAATGCAGCCACAACAGCAGCAAGGCAGCAAGTCTATTAGTGTAAGCTTCTGATTTTTTAAGGTTTTATTTTCATAAAATTTGATTGAAGACATTTATATTTATTGATTCAATGATCACTTTGTCATTTGTTTGTTTGTTCGTTCGTTCGTTGATTAATTGATTCATTCATTCATCCATCCATCCATCCATTCAACAATTCACTTTTTCTTCACTCCCAGCACTCCCAGCCATCAGCACCACCATCCAATCATCATCATCATCATCACTGGGACGAGACATCAGCGTTTGTCCAATTCGCAGACTACACCTTTGTACTGACCAGACATAAAATGATGACCACCCAAAATAACGGTGATGCTGGTAATGATGTTGGGGAAAGAAAAAACGATGATGATAATGATGATGGTGATGATGATGATAGAAAAGCGAATGTCAAAGCCAGAGTCACGAGTCAAGAAGAGATAGTGAAGAGGCAGAGGAGGATGATGAAGATGTGGATGAAGAGAGATGATGATGATAGTAGTTGTGAGAGTGGCGATGATGATGATGGTGGAGATGATGAGGAGAAGAGAGAGTTGGCCAAAAATGGTCAGTTGCTGCTGTTTTTGGTGTCATCTTATTGCTTGTAACTTCATTCCTTCTTCCAGGCTGTTGATTATTCTTTTGATCAGTCGTTCACACAATTCATTGATTCAATCAATCATTCAATCATTCATTCATTTATTCATTCATTCACTCACTCACTCATTCATTCACTCGCTCAATCCACTCAACCAAATAAACCATCACAACGACGTAACTCAATGAAAAACCCTTGTACCCTCTCCCGAAAAAGTTCCTGAATTTTGGCGGGATATGATGGACACCACGGACGGTGACCTCTTCCCCACGCGTGCCCACTGCCTCCACAGATGGTTTGGTGTCCGCGATTTCCTCACCCTTGCCACCACTTCCGGTTCCGAAGATATTAATAGTGAGAGTCGGATCAACATGCTACTCAGCTGCTTTCGCATTGCTGCTTTGAATACCGGATGGTGAGAATGATGCTGGTGGTGGTGGGGATGATGGTGATGATGGTGTTGGTGATGATGGTGTTGGTGATGATGGTGGTGATGGTGGTGATGATGATGATAGAGGAATGGTGATGATGATGATGAAAAGAGGAAAATGAATGAATCAACATCATCTTACCATCACCATTATACCATCGTCACTGACTATCATCATTCCAATGGCAATCAGCCAGGTTCCATTCTTCGTGCAAGCATCTTCAAAGTGGCGGAGGTTATTCTATGGCGCGGGCGAGGGCTGGGGTCTGAGGACGAACTTTCAGATGGTGCACATGAGGACCTGTTCCAGCCGGTGCAACTATCTCGATGGCTTGATGGCTCTTTTTAAAGATAAGATTGTTAGTTGATTGGTCGGTTGGTTGATTGATTGATTGATTGATTGATTGATTGATTGATTGATTGATTGATTGATTGGCTGGCTGGCTGGCTGGTTGGTTGGTTGGTTGGTTGGTCGGTCGGTTGGTTGGTTGGTTGATTGATGGATTGATTGATTGATTGATGGATTGATTGATTAACTTTCTGGTTAATTTGTTGGTCGAATATTCATCATCGTCATCATCTTTTCATCATTTTCGTCATCGTCATCATCATCGTCGTCATCATCATCACCACCAGAACCCACCATTCCAGCCATTTGAAGGTGTCACAACGTCAGTAAGATTTACGTACGTGATCAATGATTGGTCGGAATTTCCGTGGCTCATGTCACCTCCCGGTACGCCAGTCCTGATTGGCTGAAAAATTAAATTACCCGATTACTATTTTAAAATGCGAGCTGTGATTGGCTGAAAATTTTGCCAGTCATAATTTCTACCTGAATGAATGTTTTCTTATTCTAATTCTTGCGAAATACAAGTGAACAAATGCCTGAGTTAAATTAATTAATTAATTTAATTAATTAAATAAATTAATTAATTTAATTAATTAAATTAATTAATTTATTTAATTAATTAATTTAATTAACCTTATTCTAATTCTTGCGAAATACAAGTGAATACAAGTGGACAAATGCCTGAGTTAAATTTTGTTAACATGCAAACTTCTGTTCTGACAAATATGTACTTGTGGCTAACATTCTAGTTATAATTATTATACATTTATTCATTCATTCGTTCATTCGTTCGTTCGTTCGTTCGTTCATCCATTCATTCATTTATTCGTTCGTTCGTTCGTTTTTTATTCATTTAATTATAAATCCATCCATCTTTATCCTAGACTTGGATAATCCTGATGTTGAGTTTGGCGGATCAAAATTTAACGAACTTCCGTTTGGGAGCTATGACGATCCCTTGAGGTTTGATTGGTTGATTGTTTTATTCATTCATCAATGTATCCATCCATCCATCCATCCAATCATCCATTTATCTATCAGTTCTTCATCTGTTCGTTTAAAAATTTTCAAGCTAGTTCGTTCGCTTGCTCGTTCATTCGTTCGTTTTTCCTTTCTTAAAAGCAATTAACTCAATCATTCATTCAATCATTTATTCATTCATCCATTCATTCATTCATTCATTCAGTGAATTTTCTCTCTCGACAACGTGGCCTTCCTTGCCAGGTCTCTTGCAATCAGAAAGTGAATCGCACTCGTAAGTTGATTGGCTGGCAGATTGGTTGATTGATTGGTTGGTTGATTGATTGATTGGTTGATTGATTGATTGGTTGATTGATTGATTGATTGGTTGATTGATTGATTGGTTGATTGATTGATTGGTTGGTTGGTTGGTTGATTGATTGGTTGATTGATTGATTGGTTGATTGATTGGTTGGTTGTTTGATTGATTGGTTGGTTGGTTGGCTGATTGATTGATTGATTGATTGATTGATTGATTGATTGATTGATTGATTGATTGATTGATTGATTGATTGATTGATTGATTGATTGAAATTTGAATTAACCAATCACAGCCGTTTCGAACCATTCCTGGCTCCTAATTGGTCAGTTAGAGTTAGCTCGAGGGACAATCCAAAGACCTTATTGGGTGAGAGGTTCATAATAAAATTAATTACAATAATAATAATTATGGTTATAATTTAAACTGCTATAATTATAATTAACTAATTATAATTAACTAATTATAATTACCTAATTATAATTAAGGATCTTACGTAAAGGGTATGATGGATATTTGTATGAAGCCGTCAGCTCTTTATACAGCTGTCAGTAATATAAAAGTGCCACAATCTGGTTGGTTGGCTGGTTGGTTGGTTGGTGGATTGATTGATTGAGATGTCATTCATTCACTCATTCATTCATTCACTCATTCATTCATTCATCATTCATTCGTTCGTTCGTTCATTCGGTCGTTCGTTCATTCGTTCGTTCGTTCGTTCATCCATTCATTCATTTATTCATTCATTCATCATTCATTCGTTCGTTCGTTCGTTCGTTCATTCGGTCGTTCGTTCGTTCGTTCATCCATTCATTCATTCATTCACTATTCACTTTTTTATTTTATTAATCCTCCGTTCGTTCTTTCATTCACTCAACCTCCGACGACCAATCAGACATCAACGCTTCCCAAGCCCTCAACCGCCTGACCGAGCCCCGAATGCCGACCTTGGGCAGTGTCGTCATGGGGGCAAGGTCGAAGTTGGCGGGCAAAATTGACGACACTCTGCCCATTAGTGAAGAGTTGCTTAATGACATTTTGCAGGTGGGTCTTTGTTTGGTATCCCTGAGTTGTTTGGTTGATGATGATGGTGGTGGTGGTGGAGATGCTTATCGTATATGTATATGAATATGTATTGTATTGTATGTTTGTACGCACATGAATATGTATCGTATTGTATGTTTGTACGCACATGAATATGTATCGTATTGTATGTTTGTACGCACATGAATATGTATTGTATTGTATGTTTGTACGCACATGAATATGTATCGTATTGTATGTTTGTACGCACATGAATATGTATCGTATTGTATGTTTGTACGCACATGAATATGTATTGTATTGTATGTTTGTACGCACATGAATATGTATCATATTGTATGTTTGTACGCACATGAATATGTATCGTATTGTATGTTTGTACGCACATGAATATGTATCGTATTGTATGTTTGTACGCACATGAATATGTATCGTATTGTATGTTTGTACGCACATGAATATGTATCGTATTGTATGTTTGTACGCACATGAATATGTATCGTATTGTATGTTTGTCTAAGTCCTGTGTAGAAGTACAACTCATGTAGCGTTTGGGATGAAAATTTTCACCTGACCATTTCAAAACTGGTAATTTCAATTCTAGCTGCTGTTTCCAGATGCCAGGCCATCTACATCACGGGCAGATGACGTCACGAACGCTACGTCATCGTCGTCATCAGCACTTCTATCTAAGGATATCTATCGCCAGCTTAAAGCGGCCCCGCCCACAAGTCTCGTCAGCCAATTGGCCGTTTGCACGTGCGTCGTCAACCAATCACACGGAGGTCTTAGAGCCGTCAACCAATTGTGGTCGGAGTTCGTCCTGGAGATGAGATATCGATGGGAGAATAGCTGTACTATTCCTGGGTTGTCAGATGGATGGGTGGATGAATGAATGAATGAAGGAATGAATGAATGAATGGATGAATGGATGAATGAATGAATGAAGGATTGAATGGATGAATGAATGAATGAATGAATGAATGAATGAAAAGGTGAATGAAAAAACAGACAAAAGTTAATGAAAGAATAAAAAGACGAATTTTTTTTTGATTGGTGGACAGATTAGAACCGGGTTCGCCTAACATGGCATGTTGCCTGCTCTACCAAAAATTGCAAGTAAGGTTATGGTGATGATGATGATGACGACGACAATAATGATAATGACGACGATGATGATAATGATGATGATAATGATGATGATAAAAATTTGTTCAAAAGATGTTGAACTGCTGTATTGAGAGAAAGAGACAACGAGAATCATTATCACCATCACCATCTTCTACAGGTGAAAATGATGATGATGACGATGATGATGATGATGACGACGATGATGAATTTATAATTATAATTAGTAACATAAGATGGAACGACATTGTTCTTTATGTTCTTTATGGCGATGAGTCAACTTATTTTTCAAATTTTTCCCGGCGCTATAAAATTATTTTTTTTTTTGCCAGCCAATAACAAACCACTATTGAAAAGATCACCCAATCACGAGCTGTCAAGCGAGGAAGAGGAATTTTTCGAGTGCGGTGAGATCTCTGATTCGTCGAAAGACGATAACGTTTATACACTCTCGTCCAATAGTAACGCAGAGCCTGAGGGTCGATTGAAACTATTGGACGGTAATATTAGCTTGCTGGAATTCCCGGATCGATTTATTTATATCCCCGTCACTCAGGAACCTGCCCCGGTCACTGAAGATCTACTGGAGGAAAATGCCGAAGTTCTAACAAGGTTTTCAATTGGCTGATTGATTAATTAATTTATTCATTCATTCGTTCATTTATTCATTCATTCAGACTGGGAACGAGCATGGAGGGGGCACAGTTGAGGGCCCGCATGCAGAGTGCCTGCCTCCTATCAGACATGGAGTCATTCAAGGCGGCCAATCCCGGCTGCTCATTAGTTGATTTCGTCAGGTGGTACTCGCCTAGGGATTGGCTGGAAAATGGAGGTGACCTTGATGACTCTGGTGGGAAGGTTAGATTAGGAATTTAGAAGATTAGGGATTGAAGGGGTGAGGAGTTGAAGAGTTTTAGAATCTTCATCTGTTAACGTCTAACAGTACATTTATGCATCAAACAAACAGACATACAATCTCGTTCATTAACCAATCACAATCACCCACCAACTCTCACCGACCAATCACAATCTATCCTCCGAACTCTCACCGACCAATCAGAGCCAGCCGAACAAACTTGGTCAGCTGAGCCAGCGAATGAGAGTAGAGAACAACGTCTGGTTGGAAGTCTGGCAGAGCGCCAGAAGCCTGCCCGCCAGGAAACAAAGAAGATTATTTGACGATACCAAAGAAGCTGAAAAGGTGATGATGATAATGATGTTATGGCGATGATGATGACGATGATGATGACGTCATCTTCAGGTCCTCCACTGGCTGTCCTCTCTGACGACCAGCCAACTGGCCAAACATCTCATGCCAGTGCTATTGACCGCCGCCGTTCAAAGGCTACTAACCAATCGTTAGTAGTTCTGATGATGATGTTGTTATCGTTGATGATGATGATGATTGTGATGCTACTACTGATGATGATGATGATGATTGTGATGCTACTACTGATGATGATGATGATGATGTGGTTGTTGTCGGTGATGATGATGATGTAGTTGTTGTTTATGATAATGATGAAGGTATTTTAAATAACCACCACAGTCATTGTAATTATCGTCTCCATCATCATCATCATCTTCTTCTTCGTCATCATCATCTTCTTCATCTTCATCATCGTCATTCTCAAAAGCGGAAATACATCTACCATTTTTGAAACGGCACGTGCACCAGCTTCCACAGAAACTTGTCAAGGTCACAAGAAATCTAGGTCAAGGGGAGATGAAGAGCTGTGAGGTTGGTTGGTTGGTTGGTTGGCTGGTTGGTTGGTTGGTTGGCTGGTTGGTTTTGTTGTTTTCGGTGTCAATCCAACAAACAGACACTTGATAATTCAATCAATCAACCAATCAATCAAACTATTCACTCAATCAATCATCCAACTTTCAATCAGTCACTCACTCATCCAACTATCCACTCAACCAATCAACCGACCAACCAATGAAACGACTTCAGGATCTTATCAACCACATAACTTTTTTGGAGTCTGCAATCGTTAAAGTCCAGTCACTCTTCAGAAAGCTGAACTCAACAAGACAAGCGATCACCAAAGACCGTAAAAACAATAATAATAATAATAATAATAATGAAAAAAACAACACCATCAATAAAACCAACAAAAATAGTAATAATAATAATAATAATAACGTCGATGATGACGATGACGAAGATGGCGTAGTGACGGATGGCGCGCTACAAAAATTCATCTCAGACATTCTGGAATTCCCCGAAGTTTCGTTTAAGAGTTGTCTGGATTATACGGCTCTCGGCAGATTGGTGTTTAAGTTCGTCAGAGATGGCGCTAATTCTGGGGACAAGGTTGGTTATGATAATGATGTTGATGATGGCGATAGTGATGATGACGATGATGTTGATGATGGCGATAGTGATGATGATGACAATGGTGGTGATGATGATAGTTGTAATGACGAAATTATAACATAATCATAATAACGATTCGCTCACTCATCTACTCAGTTTTTATTCTACTCGTCATCGTCATCATCAATATCACCATCAAGACCACAGATGCGGCGACTGTAGCTACTACAGCCACTACTACTACCACATCGTCGTCATCAGCAGCACCACCATCGCCTCCAGCCAATGAGAAGACGTCTGAGGTCAAGATGAGACCTCCAGTGGGGAAGGAGTACATCTTGAGGATTATGTGCAAGAGACCTGCGCCCTGGTCTAGAAAATGCCCCCAGAGGTTATGATAATGATGCTGACGGTCACGTTGGTTATGATGATCATGGTGGCTATGTCTGTTCTGATGATGACTACGTTGGTTATGATGATGGTGGCTATGTTGGTTATGATGATGATGACTATGTCGGTTGTGATGATGATGATAATGATGGTTATGATGATGATGGTAATGGTTGAGAGTCGAGAATGTTATATTATGTGGTGTGGCCTTCATCAATTAAAATGTTAACTTTTCTTTTTTTCATTCATTATTCATTAATTAATTAATAATAATATTATTATTATTATCACTATCATCATTATCTTCATCAGGTTGTATTGCGTCATAACGCCAGATGAATTCCGATTGGCTGGTGCCTTCAGTGACGACATAACTTTCCAGTGATCTGATTGGTTCTTGGAATCGGCTGCTTTTTCAACTATCGCGTTGGAATCAGCTGTTTTTTAAACTATCGCATATCTCAAAAACAACAACATCAACAACAACAACAATAATAATAACAATAATGATGGTTATGATGTTGATATGATACAGATGATATCTTTCGAGATGATACAACTATCCAGTGATTTGATTCGTTCTTGGAATCATCCGTCACCCTTATATGTTTTTTGATCTTATATCTGCTCCCTCACTATCATAACATTTACGACACGACAAATTTTCTCCGCAATTTCATTGGCCATTGAATTTATGACGTCATCTATCATTACTCCAATGGAAAATTGATATAGTAATATGAATCAGGCGTTAACTTACTACAAATCTTAACTTTCATCACGAATGACATCATCATCATCATCATTATTATTATTTTATTATTATTATTATTGTTGTTATTATTGTTGTTGTTATATGGATTAGTAATTCTTACTACCACAGATGGATTTAATGATTGGTTTTAAACTTTGGTCACTTATTTGTTCTAATAAAAATGATGGCGGAAAGAAATCTTTAGAATTTAATTTGATCTGTAGGCGTTTGAGAGAGAGGGAGAGAGAGAGAGAGGAAGAGAGAGAGAGAATTGTTGTAAATTTAATGATTTTTATTTTGGGATTGTAACAATGATAAAATCGAATTTAACTAGAAAACAAACACACACACACACACACACATACAGACACAAACACACATACAGACAGACACAAATGCACATACACACATATATACAAACAGACACAAACACACATACACGCATATATAGACAGGTATTTTTTACGTGTGAAGAATATAAATTATGTCTATAATAAACATTGCATCGAATAAATATCAAACCGTGAAAATAAGTTAATTAATGAACGAAAGATTGATTAAATGAATGAATGAACGGGTGAATGAATGATAATAAAAACAGATGAATGAATGAATGAACGAATGAATGAACTGAATGCATTTTAACTACTAGAAGTTCGGATGTTTAAAATCAAGTTGATGAATGATGAAACAATTGACTGACCAACCGAATGGACAAATGAAACAGCTGAGAAAAAGAAGATGATGAACGAACGAACGAACGGTAACAAAATGAATGAACGAAACAAATGAACAAACATGTGAACCAGATATGCTGAAGTAACAACTGTTCCAAAGAATCCATTCACCTCTTAAAAACACCATCATCGTCATCACAACCAGAACATAAATATTAATAATTATAATTATTATAACTATAATAATAATTATTATAATAATTATTATAACTATTATAATTAATAATTATTATTCACGACGCCATTGTATGTTATTTTTTTCTAGTTTTCCAATCAGTCAGGTATGAACAAAGAGACTTTTGGTATGAACTCAAGCAATAACACCTAGGAAGAATAATTATATTATGTTATTATTTAAATAATTATAAATTATATTATAATATTTACTTATAATTATCACATTTATTCACTTGTAGTTATATTAATTATAGTTCACATAACTACCATCATTATCATCGTCACTATCATCATCGTCATCATCGTCCTTATCATCATCATCGTCATTGCTATCATCACCATCGTCATCAAAACCTACGACTTCAGTCATGGATGTGTCGTCTGATTTTAGTTTGTGTAGCTTCCAGTTTAGATTCAGCTGGTGGTGGTGGTGTTGAAAAATAATTACAGTCAGCAAGATTAAAAAATATGGGAGTAAAAACTTTTAAATAGACAAAGCAGAAACCAACCCTGTGATAGAGTCGATTATTCTCATAATCTAGAATCTTCTCGACCTGATTTATCGTCCTCTTGTTCATGCATATAACAGGCCAGAGTGAACAGCCGAGTGAACAGCAGCAAACGAGCGAACAGCAGACGAGCCATCGAGCGTTCATGGTCATTGTTTTCTTCAGTACCAAGTTTATTCGTTTGATAGTCGAGGCGTACTCTTCTGGGGCCACCTTTCCAGGAAAGTGACGATGATGTTGATGATGATGATGATGGTGGTTGGTGGTGATGATGATGAAATTAGTACCTTAGCAGTAAGTGTCGAGGGGAATTTCGTGTCGAATCTGTTGTTCAAGCCAAACCTACCAAGAAAAAATAAATAAAATGAACTTAAATGAATAAAAAACTATTTATTTCATTATCATCAATCACATAACCAAACATTATTCATTACTACCATCATCATCATCATCAGTATACATTTATATATATATACATACACATTTATACACATATATATATATATTATATATAGTATATAACGTTTTATATATATATATAACATACAATGTTAGGTTTCCAGTGCCTTTAATAATGACAGGATCATGCATATTTAGATTGTAGGCCGTCGAATTGAGGTTGATGTTTGATAGATCTGCAGTCAGCTCGTCGACCTGCTCCCCGTCTAAAACATCAAACCTGGAGTTGTTATTGAAGTTTGATTCACCTTCTAAGTCTTCTAAACTGTAGATGACGTCGAGGTCGGCCGCCATGTTGTTTTCTAGCGGGGCTGGGTTGGCTAGATGGGGACTAATTTTATTATTCAGGGTGAAAATATTACGCTGTTGATCTGTAGTTCTCCTAACTATTTTCTGAGTGAATTAGTATTAGTAAGCTGATTTAAGTTAAATTACCTAAATGTAAAAATCAAACTCAGATTCATTTTAGATTTCAGTTTAGCAGTATTTTGAGTTTGACTTATGAGACTACACTACACTAATGTAGTAAAGTAAAGTCAGTACTACAAACCCATCACTATTATTATATCAAAAATCATGTAAATTAAAGAGTAATAAATAGCACTAATTTTTCAATTTGTTGAGGTGTTCGTTGGCTGATTAGTGATTAATAGTCAATTAGTAGTGTTTCTGTTAAGTTTTACTTTTAGTTTTTTACCTTTACTCATTTACTGTCTTAAATTTGCCTGACTACAATCAAAAGGTAGTAGTAATTCATATATGAAACCATTTCTACAATGATTCTACAAAAATTGTAATTAACCAAATGAACGAATTAAAACTTATTTTGAAATGAAATTTTTAGTAATTTTGACGAGAAAAACGAATGAAAAAAATGACAACGGTCTAATTTTTCTTTACAACGGCTTGTTTGTTGTTATGGTTAAGTGACAATTAACTTTTAAAAAAATGTTGCTCTAACAAATGTTATAGCGTTACATTTTTAACCTATAAATAATTTATATACTAGATATATATATATATATATGAAAATATATATATGTATATATATAAGTAAAGAACAGTATTTTACTACATTACAGAAATAATATATGGAATACTAATACTGTATGAAAAATTAATATATTTTTTACATATAGCCTTAAAAAAAGAATGATGATATTAAAAATATTACCAGAGTTAGATTTGATTGAAAATGGTTATAAAATTATCATATAGTTAAACTTTCGTCACCTTTTGAATTTAATTTTGACACCATTTCAATGCTATTGATTATTATTTTTGTTTCAGCCGTTAAGCATCATCATCAACACCATCTTCATCATCACCATAAGCACCATTCTCATCATCATCATCTTCTTTTTCTTCTTCATCATCATCATCATTATAGGATCATTTATTTTGATTTAACCTATATAAAAATTTGAATAATAAAATGAAATCAAACGTTCGACCATTGTGACGTTATTTCTTTCAACGTTTCAATGTTTTATGAATGAATGGATTCATGAATAAATGAACGAATGAACAAACGAATGAACGAACGAACGAACAAACGAATGAACGAACGAACAAATGAATGATTGAATGATCGTTTGGTTAGATGGATATAAACTCAACGAAACGACAGCAAAAAGGTATACCAAGGTACCCAACTTTAACCTAAAATGAACCTTCTAGAGTTCAAAAAATCCATTTTACCGAGTATGATTTCAGATCTCAATTCGTCTATCTATCCATCTATTTTCATTTCGTTAATTCTACTTCTATTCTACTTTTATTTTTATTATTTATTGTGTTTTATTTGTTTATAGGCATACGAATCCAGAGCGCTCAATGAGTCCTATATGATTCCGCGCTCAAACTTTAACATGCTATTTAGGTCTTTGTTTGAACAGTTGTAGGTGGGTGAGTGTATGTGAGTGTTTGTGTGCGTGTGTGTTTGTGTGCGT